GTTGAAAAAACTAGCTTTCCACACGCAAAGAATGAAATACGGGCTGTGGCTCAAGGCTGTAATTCTAAGTACTTGAGCTAGGCAGAGATAAGGGGATTGCAGTTCAGAGCCAGCCAGGCAAAAAGAGTTTTAAAAGACTCCATCTCTGCCAATGACTGGGCACAGTGATATATTTGTCAGCTACTGGGGTAGCACAATGTCTGGGTGCAATGACACACCATTATCATCCCCAGAAAATCAGGGAAGCATAAATAGGAGGATCATAGTCCAGGTTGGCCTGGGCATAAATCAACAACATACCTCAAAAATAACCAAGGCAAGCCAAACACCAGTGACTCATGACTATAATCCTACCTATGCAGAAGTCTGAGATCTGGAGGAGCAAGGTCTAAAGCCAACCTGGGCATAAAAGTCTGTTGAGACCCATCTCTTAACTAACCAGCAAATACCTAGGCAGGAGGCATCACTCAAACAGTAAGCACCTGCAAAACAAGAAGGTTAAGTGAGGGCTGGGAATATGGTTTAGTGGTAGATTGCTTGCCTAGCATGCATGAAACCCTAGGTTCAATTCCTCAGTGCCACATAAATAGAAAAGGCTGGAAGTAGTAGATTGCTGGCTTGAGCAAAAGAAGCTCAGGGACAATGTCCAGGTCTTGAGTTCAAGCTCCAGGACCGGCAAATAAAGCTAAGTGAGCATGAGGCCCTGAGCTCAAGTCTTAGCACCAGCAAAAAGGAAAAACTTTAAAGCAAAAGAGGGCTGGAGACATGGCTCAAGTGGTAAAATACCTGTGAAGCATGAGGCTTTGAGTTCAAACCCCAGTGCTGCCAAAAACAAATGAGTGAAAATAAATCAACTCAAAGTGGTGAATAAAATTCCGTCTATAAGACCTGAAACCATAAAACTCCAAGAAGAGCTTCTCAACCCTAACCTTGATAGTGACTTTGGAGATCACAAAGCAACAAGAGGTGTCTGGGAGCATGGCTGAAGTGGCAGAGCACCTACTTGACAAGCATAAGACCCTGAGTTCAAACACTAGTACCACCAAAAAAAAAGGCTATAAAAATGAAATCTATAAATGAGACTATATCACAAAAAGAATGCTTTCTGCACAGCAAGAGAAACACCAACAAAATGAAATGCCAGGTATGGAGTGGAAAAAAAGTATTTACAGACCATATATTTGATAAGGTCTTAATATCCAAAACATGAACTCTTACAACTCAATCTCAGAAAAACACATGACCCACATGAAAGGGCAAATGACTTGAACAGACATTTCTCCAAAGATGACAAAAACAAAACAATGGTCTATGAAGAGATTCACAAATTCACTAATCATCTGAGAAATGCAAATTATAACCACCACAAGATGTCAGTTCATTACCAATAAGGATAGTTATTTTGAGAGAAAGAGAGGGAAAAACACATAAACACATTAAAAAAAATGAACATTACACTGCTGGTGACTTTGCATTGGCACAGCTATTACCAAAAGCTGTATTGAGATTCCAGGGAAATTAGAAATAGAACTACCATCTGACTAACCGTCCCTGTACTGTGTGCATGCCCATAGGAGATGAAATGATCACTTCATGCAGGTAGCTGCACTTGTGTGCACTGAGGTCACTAAGACCTTTTTGGTCTGTTGAAGTCATGCCTTCTGACAAAAATTATACATTTGAGGGTTCTAGATTATAAAATAAAACTAAAATTAAACAACAAAGGTTACAACAAAGATAACTAAGTTTATCTTCCAATCCATGCTCTGCCTCCCTGCAGCTCTCTGCTCTGAGATGCCATCTCAGACCTAAGGCTGAACCTTGTGGGCCTAACCCAACTAGTCCTTTTCTGCTCTGTTCAAAACTACCAGCTGAGGGGCTGGGAAGGTGGCTCAATGATAGAGTGCTTGCCTTACATGCATGAGGCCCTGGGTTCAGTTCCTCAGTGCCACATAAGCAGAAAAAGTCCGAAGTGGTGGTGTGGTTCAAGTGGTAGAGCACTAGCCTTGAGCTGAAGAGCTCAGTGACAGCACCCAGGCCCAGAGTTAAGGCCGCACAACAGACAAAAACAAACAACAAAACTACCAGCTGAGTCTAGGGTCCACCATTTGCCACTGATCTGGGGAAACACCCAAACAAGGTATGAAAAGATGCCAAGTTTATTCAGAAACAAAATGGTCGTATAAGACCAGTAAGCCAAGATGATGTTCCCCTTACCTGCCCAGAACCCATTCCCAGCAGTTGAAGGGTAATCTTAACATGCTGCATCTCCTGCAAGTGCACACAGGCTTCAAGAGGAAGGTCTCCTCTGAGTGTACCACTTCATAGTCAAATACAACTGGTTCACTTCTTGGTAAGTGCAAAGCCAAAACAAATAACTAAGAAGTGAAATCAATTACCTGCCTCAAGTAAAAAGAGTGTGGGAATTAATTTCCAAAGCAATGCCTTCCAATAAAATTTACATTCAATAAAGTAAGTTGACTGTGGCTTTAGTAAGTTGTTACATAGCAGGTGTTATTTTTATACTTACATATTATTACCTGAAGTTTTGTAGACTTACAGTGAATTTCTCCTCAAAGACTTCCTTGGCTTAAGATCTTTAGAGAGAAACTCACTTTTTCACATTTAAAACTAGACACAAAATGCAGGTATTCTAATATCCTTTTTGTTGTCATTGTGGTTGGTCCTGGATCTTGAACTCAGGGCCTCAGCACTGTCCCTGAGCTTTTTAGTTCAAGGCTACCATTCTATCACTAAGCCACAGCTCCGCTTGTGCCTTTTGGGTGGTTAACTGGAGATAAGCATTTCATGGACTTTCCTGTCTGGGCTTGGCACTGAACCACAATCCTCAAATCTCAGTTTCCTGAGTAGCTGTGATTGCGGGTTTGAGCTACCAGTACCCCTCCAGGGCTTCAGTTTTACAGTACAGACAGTAAGCTGGGGATGAAGAGGAAAGGTGAAGGTGTTGAATAATAACTTTCCAAAGGAAATGGGCATCATCAATGCATTTCAAAAGAAATATCCCTTAGCTCGGAGCTGGTGGCTCATCATACCTGTAATCCCAGCTACTCAATAGGCTGAGATCCTAGGGCTGCAGTTCAAAACCACCCTGAAGAAGGAAGAGCTAAGAGACTCTTGACTCCAATTAAGCAACAAGAAAGCCAGAAGCAGAGCTGTGGTTCAAGTGGCAGAGAGCTAGTCTTGAGAAGAAAAAAAACCTCAAGGACAGTACTCAGGCCCTGAGTTCAATCCCCAGGATCTGGAGAAGAGAAAGAGAAAGGGAAGGGGGGAGGAAGGGGGAAAGGGAGAAGGGAGAAGGAAGGGAGGGAGGGACAAAAGAGAAAAGAAAGAAAAGACCCTTAAATATCATAACAATGGTTTTTAATGTTCTCTAAGAGCAAATCATGAAATGGTTATCTTATATATTTTGAGGAAACTTGAAAGTGAAGCTGTGGATTCTCTCTTGGGATTTACATTATAACACTCTGGGATTTTTTTTTCCAGTCTTTTTTTTTTTTTTTTGAGACCAGTCTTGCTATCTTCCCTAGCCTGCCTTTGAACTCCTAAGTCCAAATGATCCTCCTGTTTCAGTTTTCCAAGTTGCTGGGACTACAGGCACATGCCACTTTGCTGGCTTACTTCCAGGAATTTTGGGGGAAATACCCTTTACTTCTGTAACATACTAGGATTACTTAAAAATTATTCTTTTCACTCTTTCCTAAAATTGTGTTTTCAGGCTTCTTCCAAGGCATAGAACAAGCTGGGAACAAGTGGTTAGAATACGGATCATGTTCATTTACTGAGCACTTGTGTGCCAAATTGCACTACATATTTAACATATATTATTTCAGTTAGTCTTTAAAATAGACCTGTGGGGTGGGTAATATCAGTCTTCCCAATGAGAAACATGAGGCATGTGAAAGTCTATTTACTTGATTTCACCCACATAGTGTGTTAGTCAGCCTTCTATTGCTGTAACAAAATGCCAGAAGCCAGCAACATTACAAAGATGAAAGATTTATTTAGCTCACAATTTTAGAGGCTCCAAGTCCAAAGAGCATAGCATAGGTTCTAGCTGCCACCACATCATAAAAGAAAGCCCTATATATCTGTGTAAATTCTCTCCCTCCTTATAAAGCCAACAGGATTCAATTACTACCATTCCACTGGTATGGCTTAATCTAAACACTTCCCAAAAGCTCCACCTCTAGCCACCAGAGTCAGAGGCCAATTAAATACTCTTTGTACACCATCAATGTCAGACTTTGGGGGCTAACCTCCTGCATGAGTTCAAGGGACAAATCAGATCCAAATTATAGCAGTAGAATTGCTCCCCTCTCATCCCATTTTGCTTTCCATGCTCCCAGTTACCCACAGTCAACTTCTACCCCCACAAAAAAATATGAAACGGAAATTTCTGGAAGAAAATATACATTTTCAATAACTTTTGCTTCAATGCATTGTTATAATTAACTAACAATAAAACAGGAACATTTCTTACTGTGTATAATTTGTACATCAAGCTTTGTCACAGATATATATATATACACATATATATGAAAAAGCATAGTATATATCATGTTCAGTAATATCCAAGGTCTCAAGCATCCACTGTTTTGGGGGGATGGGGGTGGGAAGTCTTAGAACTTATCTCCTACAGATAAGGGGGACCAGGGGACCTTGCTGTCCTACAGGTTGTTAATCGAACCCTGATCTGCCCTACCCTTAAGTGTGTCCCCTTTTGCATTTTATGTTCTTCCCAAACAAAAAGCATTTTCAACAAAGTCCTCATCATGTGTTGGTTGATATGTAAAGTTATTTAATATTGATAAAGTTATTTAGTGCATTTTAAAATATGCAAAGCTTTAGATGTGCCAGGTAGTGCAATCATGTTTTTATTAACTGAGATATATTGTCAAATTTCTTTCCTTGTGGAAGGAAAAACCCAACCTGTATGTAAAATATGGTCTTTGGGTTTTGTTTTTTTTCTACACAAACAGCTGCTGAACATGTCCAGGGAACTGAGTGACCTGAAGAAGAACCTGAAGGAGGCCACTGCAGCCATTGCTGCAGACCCGCTTTACATAGAGGGAGCATGGTCCGAGCCCACGTTCACATCCACTGAAGCTGCCATCCAGTCCATGCTGGAGTGCCTGAAGAACAATGAGCTGGGCAAAGCCTTGCGGCAAATCCGGGAATGCAGGTCATTCTACTGTTTCTTTTAGATATCATTTATAGGAAATGAACCCAATCTTGACTTTGCATGGTTAGGGATGGATAGATTCACGGTGGGGGGGGGGGGGGGGGGTTCTGAGAGAGAGAGAGAGAGAGTACGCACCTGATCTTGACTTTGCCATGGTTAGGAATGGATGGATTAACCACAGGAAAAAACTAGGGGGGTGGTTCTTTTCCTCCCATGTGTGTATATCCGATCTTGACTTTGCCATGATTAGAGATGGATTCACCACAGGAAAAACTGGGGGGAGAGGGGGGGGATGTAGTTCTTTTCCTCCCTACTCTGTGTGTGTGTGTGTGTGTGTGTGTGTGTGTGTGTGCACGTGCACACACATGCACACATGTCAGTACCAGGGTTTTAACTCAGCGTTTCAAACTATCCCTCACCTTTAAAAAAAAAAAAAAGACAAGAAAGTCCAAGTTTACTTAAATGGAAAAAAGAATAAAGTAGGAATATACTCCACCACATGGGAGTGGGGGTGAAGGCTTCCCTCTGCTTTAAAGCCTAGCTGGCACTCTTCCACTTGAATGTCATCTCCAGCCTACCATTTTGCTAGTCTTTAGAGATGGAATCCTGTGGACTTTTCTGCCCAGGATGGCTCTAAATCCTGCTGGTCTCAGTGTCCTTAGTAGCTAGGATTGTAGGTGGGATCCACCAGCTCCCAGCTCTCTTTACAGTTTCTTTTTTATTTAATTTTATTGTGAAGGTGATGTACAGAGGGGTTACAGTTGCATATGTAAGATAATGAGTACATTTCTTGTTGAACATTGTTGCCCCCTCCCTTGTTTTTCTCCCACTTTCCCTTACCATCCTCTCTGCATTTTTATACTATATTCCAATTCATTAGCACCAGAGTGCCACAGTAAATTAGATGGTGGCTCACACCTATAATCCTAGCTACTCAGGAGGCTAAGATGTAAGGATCACAATTCCAGACAGAAAAGTCTCAGTGAGACTCATTTCCAATTAACCACTCAATAACTGGAAGTGGAGCTGTAACTCAAAGTAGTAGAGCTCTAGCCCTTTAGTAAAGAGCTCAGGGACATTACCCTGGCCCTGAGTTCAAACCCCACGACTGACAAAAAAAATTCCATTCTGATATTTGCATACTCTTACAGGTTTATGAAAAACAATAATGTCCAATCATAGTATTGGTACAACTCTGAATATATTAAAACCTAAGGAATTGTATACTTGGGCTTGGGCAAATCATGTTGTATCTCAGCCAGGCAGATGTTGGCTCACTCCAGTAAAACCTAGCTACTTAAGAGGCGAAGAGCTAAAGGTCCCAGTTCAAAACCAGCCTGGGGCTGGGCACTGGTAGCTCAGGCCTGTAATCCCAGCTACTCAGGAGGCTGAGATCTGAGGATCTCAATTCAAAGCCATCCCGGGCAGGAAAAGTCCATGAGACTTTGTATCTCCAATTAACCACCAGAAAACCAGAAGTGGCATTGTGGCTCAGGTGGTAGAGTGCTTGCCTTCAGCTGCAGAGTTGAGAGATAGCACCTAGGCCCAGAGTTCAAGCTCCATGACCAAACAAAAAAAAAAAAAGAACAGAAAACAACTGGGCAGAAAAGTCTGTGTCTTGGCTCCAATCAACCAACAAAAAGCTGAAAGTGGAGGTGTAGCTCAAGTGGTACAGCACGATCCTTAACTGAAAAAAGTTAAGGGATAGTGCTGAGTTCAAGCCCCAGAATCAGCACAAAAATGTTTAAGAGTTCCCCACTCACTCGCCCTTTTGGCAGTACTGGAGTTTAAACTGAGGACCTCACTTTTGAAACGCAGTTACTCCACCACTTGAGCCATACCTCTAATGGTAGAAAGCATTTTTCAAAGTAATATTCTTATACTAATGATGATTCATGACCATAGCCTTTGTGAGCAACAGCTCCTCTAATCTGTGTTGTTCTTTCTTGACTTCAGAAGTCTTTGGCCCAATGACATCTTTGGAAGCAGTTCCGATGATGAAGTCCAGACACTACTGAATATTTATTTCCGTCACCAAACCCTGGGACAGACGGGTACCTATGCACTGGTGGGATCTAACCAGAGCTTAACTGAAATCTGCACCAAGCTGATGGAGTTGAACATGGAGATTCGGGACATGATCCGCAGGGCCCAGAGTTACCGAGTCCTCACTGCTTTCCTCCCAGACTCCAGTGTTTCTGGCACTAGTCTCTGACAGGAGCCACCCATCCCCCATGCTTTCCAAGCTGGGGGTGCTGCCATGCTGGGGCCATGTCTTTCAATGTCTTCACAGTCTTTACAAGGCTTGGACAGACTGTTCTCCCTCTTGTTACCTGTAGGACTTTTTCTAAAGAAGATGGCAGAACTTCCAACATGTAGCAATACTCTTAAGAACCAAGGTAGCCTAGGACCTCTGGAGACAGACTCCACCTACCCTGCTGTGTGGCACCGGTGTGTTTTCCTTTCCTGAGCACATGCAACTCACAACTGAAGGAGTCACTTACATCGCATACCAAAGCCGACCCTGAACAATACCTTCCTTTCTAGAAGCATCTTTAGATTGGCAAAAAAGTGCAATGTTTTCTTCACTAAAAAGTTTTATATTCTAAAACTTGTACATTCGTTCCCCTTCTCCTTTATCTTTTTTTCCTTTGTTTTTTTGTTTTTTGGGTGTTTTTTTTTTTTGGTGGACTGAGAAAGAGGGCAGGCAGAATGAAGCTGGACACTGAAAAAATTGTAAGATGGTCAACAGCTGACAAGCCTGTGTATTTGAAAAGGGAATTGTAAATGGACTACAATTTAATGTACACTGTTATTTGAATACAATTACTGTATCTAAAAGGAGCTGCTATGAAGTACCTTTCTTATGTTGCTAGGCTACTGTTTCTAAAGGGCCCAGATCTCTTTGCACCGTAAATGATCCAGAGAGACTCTTTTTAAAGATCTTGGCTGCTTTTTACTAGAAGGTTGCTTTTATGAGCATATTTATACTACAGAAGGATGAGTGTTACTTTTAATTAACTTTGCCATTTTGTAGAGAAAAGTTACTCGCATTATCAATTCTATGTCTTTTCACCTGTCACGCATGCATATTTTAATATCCATTTGATAGCCAGAATCATAATGGTAAAATATGAGTTGTCACTTTGTTTCCTAAGAATGTCATATTTTATTTATAATATATATGTAAAGGGCCATTCTTGAGTTTTCTCCTGAAATTTATGGCTGTCAAGTATTAGATGTGTGCATGTGAATCTGTTGCACACCAGAAACATATTCAAAGTTTATCTATGTAACTTATTCACTCTGTAAATACATTTAAAGTTTTTGTGATGTGATCTTGATATTCTGTTCAGAACTTTCTTTAGACTAAAAAAAAAAAAGACAAAATACACGGTGAGCATGCATTTTCTTTCTGGTTCATGAACACGGTTTGCCATGCAGGATGCCACAGTTGACAACTTCAGGGTGGCACTCACTGGGGATGTGGCATGCAAGGCCCTTGATCAAAGATTATACCTCTGCAATAGTCACAAAAAAAAAGACTGGGCCCTTCATCAAATTCTCTGTAATCAACCACAGAGAAAGCCCAGAGAAGAATGAGCACTCTGGTTGTCCAGAAACAAACATTAGGTTTCCATATTTAAAACCCTCAAATCGACTCTATCTACTCAGTAGGACTTTTCATTTTGTCCCTGATACCTCCAGACACACATAGTAATCTAATTTACACTGTCTCCCTACTCTTATTTTACTTGAAATAACAAATCTAACTTGCCTAATACATTTATTAAATCACTGGTAATTTTTTTTCCATCAGTCATGGGGCCTGGGCACTGGCCCTGAGGTTTTTTAACTGAAGGCTAGTGCTCTACCACTTTGAGCCACAGTGCCACTTCCAGTTTCCTGGAGGTTAATTGGAGAGGAGTCTCACAGAGTTGCCTCCCCGGGTTGACTTCAAACCACAATCCTCAGATCTCAAGCCTCCTGAGTAGCTAAGATTACAGGTGTAAGCCACTGGTGCCCAGCTATTAGTAATCATTTTATAGGAGTATTATGCAGGAGGGAGGGAATCTAACCCAAGTGTTTTGTTGTTGTTACCATAGATACAGCTACAAATATATCTCAAGGGCATTCTAGATTATTTTCAAGATTGGTCTTTTGGTGATAGTGACAATGGATCAAACCCTGGGCCTCATGCCTACTGGCCATGCACTCTTACCACTTGAGCTATGCCTCCAGCCACCTCTCAAAGTTTGTTAATGGGAGTCACAGTAAAAAAGGACTAGGCAGTCATAATAGAGAGCTTTCTCTTATCTAACAAGGAACCACCATGATGGCTGACTCCTTAACAAAGAAAGGATGTCCACAGTATGTTGTAACCTATCATAAGAAACAGTGGAGGGCTGGGAATGAGGCTTACTGGTAGAGTGCTTGCCTATCATAAATGAAGTTCTGTATGTACCACATACACAGAAAAATCCAGAAGTGGCACTGTGGCTCAAGTAGTAAAGTTCTAGCCTTAAGCAAAAGAAGCCCAAGCCCTGAGTTCAAGCCCCAGACTGTCAAAAAAAAAGAAAAAGAAAAGAAAAAAAAGTGGAGTTTGTCTTTTTCTTTAGTTTCATTTTAAAATAGATGTTGTTAGTGGGTTTTTCTACTTTCCCACTACATCTTCACCATTTCTCCCTTAAATGGAGAGGGAAAAACTGTGAGGAAAAGGAATCCACTTAGCTGAGCCTCGCAATGGCTCAGTTCCCCAGGTCAGATCTCCCTGGTATCATGTTGTGCCTCTGTGACTGAGCATTCATTTTCACTGAGTTCCTAAGGCAAGAGAAATGAGTGCCAGCAAAGAGAGTAGCACCCGACAGATGCTCCAGAAATAGGGAATTTCTTCCTTGTAGTGCAGTGTTATCTAGATCCAAAACATGATGGGGTTTTTTTCTCTCTTTGGTTGGGGGAAGCGGGTATATAGGCTGGTCCTGGGTGCTATCCCTGTGAATTTTTGCTCAAGACTAGTGCTCTACCACTTGAGCCATGACTCCACTTCTAGCTTTTTTGGTGGTTAATTGGAGATGAGTCTCACAGACTTTCTTCCCTGGGCTGGCTTCAAACTTTAATCTTCAGATCTCAGCCTCTGGAGTGGCTAGGGTTACAGGCATGAACTGCTGGCACCAGGCTCATGATATACACTTTTGGTCCACTACTGGAATGAAGCAATCAAAATAGGCCTCCTAGAACTTGGACATAATTTGATTAAAATTCGAATCTCAAATATGGCAATTTTGAAAAGGCATTACACCTTTTAACTGTGTATAAATTTCTCACTTCCATCTATTGGTGAGAATGTCTAGAAGAGAGCAGCTGTGAAATAAATATGCTTATAATTGCTGCAGCCACATAGGTTTTAGGGTTCCTGATACTGTCTTACTAAACATTGATCCTTTTTGGTGAACTGTAGAATTCTAGACAGAGGGGTATCTCACAGTGCTTACATCTACTTTTAGATACCTACCTGAACACTGTAAATTTGGCCTCTCCAGATGAATATTATGGCATGTTAATTATATTTGTAGAAAAGTGCCTGAGAAAGAAGAAAGATGGTGATGTCTGAGCATGGATATCTGGGAGAAAGAGGCTCCAAGTAGGGAGGAACAAGATCAAAGACCCAGGCTCTTGTAACCCTAGTTACTTAGGCAACAGATTAGAAGATCCAGGTTTGAAACTGACCCAGAAAGACAAATCCATGAGCCTCTTATCTCCAATTACCAGCAAAAAGTTGGAAGTGGAGTTGTGGTCCAACTGGTAAAGAACCAGCACAGCGCGCACACTCGCACACCTGCACGCACGTTTGCACGCACGCATGCACACACACGCACACATACACACACCTAATTTAAATTTTTTAAAAGGAACCTACTGTTTTTAGGAGATTGTAGAAGGGCAGAAGCACAGGTTTGAAGGCAAGGAAATGGAGCAGGCAACAGGTGCTCTGGGCCTGGTTAGTAGAGGGCATACTCTGGACATACTTGAGAGGTAGAACTGGTATGACTTGCTGATGACATGTGTTATGCGAGAAACCTGAAAGATCAGCCCAGACAACTGAAAGAATAGGGTTGCCATTTATGGATATGAGAAATACATGTCTGTTAGGTAGAAATCAGCATGTCAGCTTTGAGAGGAATAAAGAGGAGGGACTCTACAAGTCTTTTGGAGATAAAGAGAGATGATATTGAAAATTCTTGAGGGAAATCCAGGATCCTATTTGGGACAGGGATCTTTCTTGTAAGAATCAATGGTGGACAAGGGGTTCAAATATGTATCTGCATGTTAAATTACTACAGGAGAACTTACAATACCAATTCCTAGGCTCTTCAAGGGATTGACTTCATTGACTGCAAGCTGACTTCACAGTCTAGTTTTATTTAATGCTGTTCAAGTGAGTCAGTTCACTACCAAGACCAACACTGCTTTCCGAGGTGCTTTGTCAAAAAGGCATATTTTGAGCCAGACACCAGTGGCCTATGCCTATAATCCTACTCAGGAGGCTGAGATCTGAGGGATTAGGGTTTAAAGCCAGCTCTGGCAGGAAAGTGTGAAAGTCTTTATCTCCCATTAGCAGCAAAAATTGAGAATTGGGACTGTGGTTCAAGTGGTAGAACATTAGCCTTAAGCTAAAGGAAAGCAGCACCTAGGCCTTGATCTCAAGCCCCAGAACTGGGAGGGAGAGGAGGCTGACTCTAACTTTTTTTTTTTTTTTTGTAGGCTGTGGGGCTTGAACTCTGGGCTTGGGCATGGTCCCTGTGCTCTTCAGGCTCAAGGTGAGTGCTCTACTGCTTGAGCCACAGCACCACTTCCAGTTTTCTAGTGGCTTATTGGAGATAAGAGTCTCACAGACTTTTGTGCCTGGGCTGGCTTTGAACTGTGATCTTCAGATCTCAGCCTCCTGAGTGGCTAGGATTACAGGTATGAGCCACCAATGCCCAGCAAAGGCTGACTCCTTTAAGACACATTTTGTTAATTCCAGAACGAGGACTTTCAATCATTTTAACAACCATCTCCTTAAAAGAAATCAGAACACGAAGCAAGCTACTGTACAGCTAAAGTGTTCTTAAAGCACACCCCAGTCATTCATATAGTGGCTCTCCCCTAAGCTAACACTTTCTCATTTGAGGTCACAGGAATTGAGTGGCTAGAGTTTAATATTCAACACAAGCCAGATGCCTTCTATCACCATATCTTCTTACCTGGATCCTGATTTTAACACAAATGACAGAATTCATGATTCTAAGAACCTAAATACTTGCTACAAAGGTGACAGAATATGAGCTGGGAGGTAGCTCAGTGGTAAAGCACTTGCCTAGTAAGTGCAACATCCTGAATTCGATCCCCAGTACTGGGGGGAAAAAAAGGTGACAGAGTTCCAAGGACAGGAAAAGATGGAAATTCTCCTTGTTCCATTTATTTTCAGCATTTCTTTCTCCTTATTTCTATTTCAAAAAAGCCCCAAAATCTGTAATCCCAGCACTCCAGAAGCAGAAGGATCTCAAATTCAAGGCCAGCCTAGGCACCTTAGCCAGACCTTGTATGAAAACAAAAAACAAAACAAGAGACACTTTTGAGATTTCATACTTCGTAGTAGTGCCAGTCATCTTTTCCCTCTACTCCATCACTGATTCCAATCCTCTGCTACCATTGAATCAACAATGAGGCTTTGAAAAATTCTGAGTCCCAGACCCTATGTCACAGCCCTTAAACACCATGAAAGCTGGGCCTCCCTCTGGGTAATTTATAATGCTTCATGGGTGATTTTCACTTGCCACTTTCCTGCTCACTTCCCTTTCTTTAAGCTTACCTTCTCTGCCCCAATGTAAGGGCTTTAACATCCTCCAGATAACCTATACGAAGTCTCCATCCTATCAGTCTGTTCACATCCGTATTTCCAGAGACCCTCACCAGGTTCTAACTTAGCTACTCAATTTCAAGGCTATCTCTCAGCCTTACCATAGTTCTGAGGGTACCAGCTCCAGAATTTCACTTTCTAGTATCCCACTCTGCCTCCAGCCTCAAACCCTCACAACTCTCTCACTACCATGGGTAAAAATCCACAGCCCTCATATGACACCACCTCACTTCTGCACAAGTTTAAATTGCATGGGCCTTTCAAATCACTCCCATCACCCCACCCCACCTCAGCCCTGTCTTGGCTGGCTCAACCTAAGGTCCACCTGTTGCACACCTCATCATATGTGAGATGTGGCATGCCTAGCTGGCAAATACAATCACATCTGCTTCTCACACAGCTCCAAGCTTCCATCTGTGAAACTTATTACACAGTTACACCTTTCTGCCCATTTCACTTTCCCAATACCCAATTTCAAATATTGCCCTCTTT